GGTTCTCCTAACGGATTACCTAAGGTGCCTACCTACAGAGGTAAGGACCAAGCTGGTTGACGAGGCCAATATTGACCAGCACACTTTTGCTTCTTTTAGTAAGAAAGCACTGGACATAGAGGCAAAGCTAGGATCTGCGCATAAGGCATCCAATGATGGTAGGAAGAGACTGCCCCAAGACTGGAAGAAAAAGGGTCAGTTAATGTTCGTTGACCACGATGGTCAAACGACGGAGATTGACGACTACTCAGATCTTGGGGAGTTCACAAAGCACGATGGGGGTGGTGAGACTTCAGATGGTGGAGTCGTGGCACCCATCAAGGAAAAGGCTAGGGGGACCGGGAAGAAGAAGGTAGTACGGTCCACGGGTCAGGGCGACCAAGGAACACCCGCATGGGTGAAGATTGGTTTAGAATACGAGGTGTGGCGTGACCGCGTTGCTAGGGGTACATACATGAACTGTGGCAGCTTTGGCCACACGTCCAGGACTTGCCGCGGCAAGAAAGTCACAACGAAGGTAGCTTCACCAACGGTGGTGGGCTTATCTTCGAACCCTGGGAGTGCTTCTGCGAGCAGCTCACAGGGAAACACCTCGGGCCAGTAGGAGTGTTAGCCGCTCTTACTCGCGCTGAAGTGGTAACGTTGCCTTCCCCACTTCAGGCGTTGGCCAAGGCTAGTGACCCACGTATCGCCCCGTAGACACATTCAGACCCACCGACGCTCTGTTCGAGAGATGTGTCTGAGGCCCTAGAAGAGTTAGAGACTGAGTGGTCAGGGAAGGACCCCAGGGACTCTTGGGCGATGATCAGTGGAGGTCCAAAGGGTGAGCATTTCGTGGTAGAAGTAGATGTAGGTGGCCGCAAGGTTGGCGCCTTCGCAGACATAGGCTCTACACGAAATTTCATCAGTCGTGCTTGTATGGATAGACCTGTCTCTTATACACATCTAGATGTGTATAAGAGACAGGAACTATAGCTTCTACGCTAGCCAGCAAGCACCAAATGGTAGTAAAAGACTATGCCAAGGACGTAGCCTGTTCATTCTCCTATGGAGAAGGGGAAGTGATCCACAAGATCTCCTTCCTGGTTAGTGACGAACTGCCATTCGATATGCTACAGGGCATGTACTACCTCGAAGTCTCGCAACCACAGTTTGATTGGGATAGAAAGGTGTTGATACACAAGTTGCCAAATGGTAGAGCCGTTAGGCTGCAGAAGTACAAGGCTAGCAGTCTAGTGGAGAACTAMGGCTGCATGTGCGCTTCRTCTTTYTATAACTACTACAAGCAGAATYGCGAGGAGGGCATGTACCTAGTGTTTGTCTCTGAAAAAGGGGAGRCCGTTAAATCACCCCYAGAGATAGAACAAGTCGTCGCTCAATATTCAKACCTTTTTKAGGAGCCCACAGGCRTGGTGGAAAGGGAGATTGTCCAKGCAATAGARGTGATCCCAGGTAGTAAGGTGCCTAGAGGACGAATCTATAGGATGTCYCCTGCGGAGTTAGATGAGCTTCGCCGCCAGCTCAAGGAGCTCACARAGAAGGGATGKATAYGGCCTAGTACCTCCCCKTACGGTGCGCYAGTCTTATTTGTTCCTAAGAAGGGAGGTCCATTAAGGATGTGCATTGACTATAGGGGCCTCAATGCCATCACCGTTAAGAACGCGGAGCCCCTACCCCGCATTGACGACCTCTTGGATAGAGTGCAGGGATGYCGGTAYTTCACMAAGATAGATYTGAAGTCCGGATACCATCAAATTGYCGTTAGGMCGGAGRACCAACACAAAACCGCATTTCAGACCAGRTACGGTCTGTACGAGTTTGTGGTGATGCCTTTTGGCCTATGCAATGYGCCTGGTACGTTCCAGCACGCGATGAATAGGATCTTTCATAACTACTTGGACAAGTTTATCGTCGTGTACCTCGACGATATTCTCATCTTCAGTAGGACTGTAGAGGAGCACGCTGAGCACTTGAAAATAGTGCTAGGCCTCCTAAGACATCACCAGTATAAGGTAAACTTGGATAAATGCGAGTTTGGTCGCACCAAGATCTTGTACTTGGGTCATGAAATTTCAGCAGATGGATTGAGGYCGGAAGATGCGAARGTGGCCAGCATACGTGACTGGCCCAGACCTCAAACTGKTACTGAGGTCARATCGTTTTTGGGGATGACGKGCTACTATCGTCCGTTTGTGAAAAACTATAGTACTATAGCTTCCCCATTGACAKATCTAACTCGACTTGACACCCCTTGGKAGTGGACTGAGGAGTGTGAAGCAAGCTTCAAGAAATTGAAGTATGCTCTGACACACTACRAAGTTCTCAAACTTCCTGATCCTGACAAGCCGTTTGTTGTGACCACAGACGCTAGCCAATATGGCATAGGCGCGGTCCTTGCGCAACAGGAAGGGCCCAAGYTGAGACCGATCGAGTATATGAGCAAGAAGATGCCATCTCARAAGTTGGCTAARTCCACTTATGAAAGAGAGCTCTAYGCCCTGTACCGAGCGCTAGTTCATTGGAGACATTACCTCCTAGGAAGGTTCTTCTACGTGAGATCTGACCATGAGACTTTGCGCTGGATCAAGACACAACCAGTCTTGTCGGACGCACTCAAGAGATGGATTCAAGTGATAGACATGWATGACTATMAACTTGATCCTATCAAGGGTACRTACAACAAAGTGGYTGATGCGCTATCAAGAAGGGCAGATTATCTGGGCGCGYTAGTAACTGAGTTTGGCATATCTAATGACCTCACTCRATCGTTGGTGGAAGCCTATCAGGGAGRCCYAGTCATGTCAGAGATCATTCRTAGGTTCAAGGCAAAGGATAAAAAAACTTTGGACGAATTTACGATGGTAGACGACTTGCTGTTCCTTGATAAGGCGGGGAATAAAAGATTGTGTGTCCCCAGTAGTGAGTCGTTGCGTAGTTTATTTTTAGGAGAAYGYCACGATGCAACTGGTCATTTTGGCTATAAGAAGACAACARCAAACTTAGTTCAGARATTCTGGTGGCCCTCTATGATGGAAGATGCAAAACGTTATGTTGAAACCTGCCAGGTTTGCCAAAGAGACAAACCAAGGACTCRGGCTCCGYTTGGGCTCATCAAGCCCTTGCCGATTCCTGGAGGTCCTGGTCAAAGTGTGTCCATGGACTTCATGGATACCCTTGTGACCAGTAAGTCTGGAAAGAGATTGCAGCGCCTCAAGTGATTGCAGGTTATGAAAGAGAACGAAAAGGGAAGATGCCTGCAGAATAAGAGACTTCTCAGAGGACTCACGAAGTTAAGGAGGAGGGAATGCGAGGATCAGTGTCCTCGGTAGGCCTACGGGGCCCTGTCTGCAGCCTTACCCGCCCTAAGTGAAGGCGGAGGTGCCCGCCCTAAGTGAAGGCG